TAAGGGAGGATTCAGGGTCACCTGGTCCAGCCCTAACTATATGCTTTAGCAAAAAGGAAAGTTTTAAGCCTAATCTTAAAAGTAGAGATAGTCTTGCACACACTTGTGACAGACATCCATAATACTCTAGAAATGGTTCCACAATTTTGCTCAAACTGAGTGGTCTAAGTTGTTATCTTGCTCATAAAGTGGATGTCTTGGGAAAATATTTCCTCTGCATTTGCACATGACACTCTGTGCACGGCTGGATATATGCTCTGTGACAGCTGTCCCCAGCTCAGATTGATTCTGTCCAGATTAAGCCTCCAAATCAGCTGAAACTGAAGTTACACACACTTTACACATGCAATACAGCGACACACATGCGCACACAGCGCAGCACAGGCTTAGTTCATCCCTCACCTCTAAGTCCCTATGTCCTCTGCTTGTTTGGGTGCCTCTCTGTCTCTGACTCCCTCCCTTTATATAACACACACGCGCGTTCATTGTGCATGTGCATGCAAACACATGCATCCGGTTGAAACTGTTGCATAATTTTTTTTTCCAGCAGTCGCACAATGCCTAAGCTCTCATGACTCATCGGTAGAGATCAGGCCAACTCAAAGCAGTGCGCATAGCAATCTGCAAGTCAGATGTGTCCACCGTTTAGTCATTGTTCAGCTTTGACGACCACATTAAAGTTTTCTATTTTCCTAGAAAGCCTATGTGCAGCAGCTCTTACTCAGCAGTATCTTTTGACCAACTTGATCTATATTTGATTGCATTCTGCTGCCACTCACTCGGAGCAAGCCTTAATTTGATAGAGGTGGAATGAATATTCTTTGCCCTCCTAAATTTATAAAGTACTAAAAGTACCCCGTTGGAAGCATGAACACAGAGCTGTCCATGAAACAAATGCATGCACGCAGTTTGGATGGGGCCCACATCTGTTCACGATTTTTTGTTTTTACAGATTAACACTTGATTGCGCTCCTAATAACATAAGTCGTCATCAAGTCATTTGACATTGCGTGCCCTGCATCTGTCTCTCCTCCACTCTGACTCCACATCTGTGAGGAGGGAATATATTGGAGAGAAGAGTGAAGATAAAAGCAACCCCTTACATTAAATTGTTTCCCTGACACAAACACAGAACCTACCACCTTCAGGAAATGAGAAGACAATTGAGAGAAATACTGTTTTCTTTCCAATCAATAAATGTAGCCACTTCCCATCTGCATATTAATTTCAAAGTTTGCACATGTGTCCATGTTTGTGTGTGGATATGTATTGACATGCTTTTGTATTGTGTATGCATATGGCTTCCCATGTGTGTTGGAGTTGCAAATGATGGCTTGCAAATTAAATTAGTTCTACATTATTACTAACGATAATAATTTGATACAGTAACGAGAAAACAAGCAAATAGCATCTTGATTGGCAATCACTTTGAGCATTGTCATTTACAGAGAGATCAGGTCTGGACAACCCTACGGCAGCAAAAACACGAGCCCTACAGTCTTGATTAGATCTTGTCTGTTTGCATGTACGTCTCCTAGCAGAATGTTGGCGCCATTAACGTTTTCGCGTCTTCGTGCCGTTTCCTAATATGTGTGTATGTGTGTTGTTATTGATTATTCATGCCCCTCTGACTGTCCCGTCTCTAAGTGTAGATATGACACTTTTTAATTAAACACATTTATCTGGCCCCTTCTCATCATGCAGCAGTCTGACACAAATGTATTCCATTTGCTGTGGGTAATGGAGCTGAGTGAAGATGAAACTTGCCCCAGGTAGAGTAGTGGGAGCCTCGGAGCACATACATAAATACGTGCAGACATGCAGATGTATAGCAGATGCATTGGCGAGCATATTCAAATATGGATTCTGGGATGCAAATACAACCTCTTCCTCTCTCTGTACAAACCCAGCTGGGAGTTCATCACTGCTTACTGTTTATTTACTATAATTCCATGGCACAGATTGATGAAAGGAAATTATCTTATATGCAATGAGGAAGTGCACGGATTTAGTCCAAAAAGATGAATTTTCATGAAGATCAGCTTTATGTCTCAGTGTCTCAGCGCTTCTTTCAATGCTTCTGTGGTAATTCACATCTCTTAAGATCACGATACATCCCTTCATACATATGTGTCCATATACTGTGTATTGTAGAGGTCCAGAAATCCCTCTATAGACAGTTACGACTCATGAGCTCTATACATGAGATAAAGCCAACTTTTTATGCATCAATTTTGTGCTATTTGTTGCCCTCTGAAAATAGAAGACAGCCCTTTCCTGCCTGTTGATTTTATTTATGTGATGCTAGCGGTGTTAGTTTGAGAAAGACAGAGAAAAGACTGATGTAATGCCAAACCCACGTTGAACTGTTTTTCTAAAAACTACATTTTTCTGGTCAGTGGGAAGTGGCTCTCACGGTTTTCTATTTATCTTTAATGTCCCACCATATAACCTGAACCTGGTATGAGCAGCATGGACGTTTCTGCAATATCACCCATACTTGATCCGCAATCAAATGTGAAAGGAACTTTGCAGCATTGACCCCGTTAACTGGCTTGTTCACTGAAGCGTACTCGGATGGATTTTATCGTGTCATTGAATGGTTGTTAACTTAATGAAACGCTGTATACCTGGTGTAGTTAGTAAGTAATTCGCTGGCAGCAAATTACTCACTAAATAGAGCTGTGATAGTGGGGAAACTGCAGCTGAACTAGGTTAGCCTTTCAAAAGTCAGATATCAGTTATCATAATAGCAGAAGAGGCTTTCTAAACATAAAATAATGAGTGGACTGAGTGTTTCAAAGTGAGCACTACAAAGCTCATCCTAGACCCGGTGTTCCTAAGGCATACCAAAAGTGGCCGCACCTTTAGAGGATGAATACATTAAACGTTTTCGTTAGATAAAAGAGTAATACTTTTATTTTAAAAATTTTTGATCAAAAAATCCTAATAACATGAAGCATTTTACTGACTTACCTCTTTTTTTCTTTATAAAAGAACTACATGGATCCTTTTTTGTAGCAACCACCAGTGGAACTGCACTTTAAAGTATTGATGCATTGGCTTCAGCTTTTTGACCTATTGGCTACTTCCACCTCTTATATGAGGGTCAGTTCATCTGAACCCATCTGAATTCATGAAATGTAACACAAAAGAAACAGTACAGAAAACAAACAAAAAACTCCCACCTCACTCTCACAAATTTACCTGAAGAAATGCTAAAATTTCACGTTTCTGTTGGTTTGGTTTTTTTGATTTAAGTGTCCCAATGGATGAAGGTTAGGTATGTTTTTACACATGAAGTTCCATATTTTTTTTCTGTGTCAATATCTGCTACTATGGCTCTGTGAATATAGGCTGTCAAGAGTGTGGCATGAATGGTGGATGCTTGAAGAAAGAAAATATTATTGCATTGCATTCCCAGTCTTTGACAGTAGATTTGAAGTCCCGTCAAAACCAAAACTGTAGGGGAACGTGTGGCATTTGATGAACTGACAAGGAATGACCTAAATAGGACAAAGCTATAGGTTTTGCATGTCGTGTGTGTTGTGGCCTTCATGAAGTAAAATGAGTGCAGAGCTGATGGTTTTTTTTCTTTGAAGAAAAGTCATCAAGTACTTATTTGCACAGGCACTTGGAGATCCCGAGTTGGCACGGTAGCCGTGTTTGTTTTTGGCCAGTATTTTGACAGTCAGAATAAGCTGGGCTGTCAGAGCTGGTATTCTTGAGTGCACAAGAAAACAGCCAATCTAAAGGCTGTTTACAAACTACGTAGTCCCTCAGTCGACCCAAATGCTATGCCATTAAACAGAGTGATTTGTTTTGAGGAGCAAAGAAATTAAGTTTTTTTAATCTGATTAATTGATTTCCAGAGAATCCCTTAAAAATATAGGAATATCAAACAGTGAGAAGAATTAATATATAGAGTAACAAGTCACCCATATGCTGCACTCATCCATAGACCTGGGCTTATGGAGGGGTCTTTGCAAGGTAGCTCCATAAATCTTCATATGATATTGATATGTCAATCTAGTCATTGGCTTTACTGTCAGTCTATCCAGGGGCTGTAAAGATTAGTGGGTCTGTTCACCGTCTGCTGTGAGAGGATGCCCTTGACTGAGCAAGGCAGAGGACATCCAAACACTCTCAGGACCCCTAAACTCCTAAAACACATCTTGATCTACGTTCGCCGGAGACTTTTACTGTCTGCATAAATTGTTGTCTTCATATTTTCAGACAGTGACTTATGCTTGTTTGTTTTCTCTGTTGTGAACTTTTATTTACTCTGCAGCACAACTGAAAAAAAAGTCCTTAGATAACCTGAACCTCCTGTATCTGTTTGCTCCTTTTCCAACAGATCTCCACACTACGCATGTCCAGAGGTCATCAGGGTAAGTGACTTCTCACAGAATCGCAATATTCATTCCTCCTGTGCGAACTTATTTTTAGTCATCCTCCGTCTTGTTTCAGTTGGCCTTAACGTTCAGTCTAAACTTGTCTAACACAATGTTTTGCCCTTAGGGAGAGAAGTATGACGGGAGGAAAGCAGACGTCTGGAGCTGCGGGGTCATTCTTTTTGCTCTGTTGGTGGTGAGTGTCAGCTTGTTCTTCAGTAAACTGATGTTAATATTATACTGACACCCAGTTTAACATCTCTAGAGGCATATTGCGTAATACAATTTTGCCATGAAGTGTCGCTTTTGTGTCATATCCAGCAGTAAGTCTAGCCTTTGCATCGTGGTGAATAAATAAAGAACGGAAGTGAAGCTTGAGAAATAAAAAGAGAGTGCTAGCCTAAACTCACCACGGAGCCTCTGACATAAACTCAGGTGTTAAGGAGTTAAATTCAAATTCTGTCGTTTAAATGAAAGAAAAAAAACCTCTAAATGTTGCAGAAACACCCTCTAGCTGATATAGATGTGCTACAGAAGATCAGAGAAAAGAAGCATCTTTTTATTCATTATCCTGTACCCACAGACGACGCTGTATCCATAATCAGGTCTATTCTCTAGCTGCATTATGTCTGTGGTTCCCCAGCCATGCAGCCCCGAAGCTTTGTTTCATCAACAGCTGTACTGTAGTTCCTACACACTCCAGCTCATGAATAATTCATACAGCCAAACTGAAAGACAAGAGCCTAAAATAAATACCAATGCTGACAGGGCAGCTTTTGGCCACAGGCCCTGTGTATCTGTCTGTTTTTGCCGCTCTCTCCCTCCACTCTGTCTGTCTTATATGTGTGTGTGCACTTGTTTTAATGATAGTATACTTAGTACTGTTGTGTTGCATAAAACTGATGTTGCTTACCATTATCTCCATCATGACCACGCTTTTCTCGCTCCAAACAAAACTTTTTTTTTCCCCCCCCGCCGCCCCAACGCAAAAAAAAATGCTGTCTCTCTTCAGTTTCGTCCTGCTGACTAGCCGCAAGATAACCATTTGTCTGATTGTGGGAGACACGCATACTCCGCAGGAGTTAGGCTGCACTCAGATCATCCGTTACACAAGTCTACCTTCCTTTTTCCTGCCTCTTTATTTCTCAGCAGCTCTTTCTGTATTTTCCTCGCCCTTTCCATCTTTCTCCACCCCTCCATCTTCACTTGTGATTGAGGTTGCCATTCATCAAATTGCTACATCTGTGAGGTGTCAGCACCCTCTGATAAATGACTCTTATGAAAGAATTCTAAATGAATGAGGTAAATGAGAAATCTGGGTAATTATTAGCGAAGCCCTGTTTTCAGCTCACTGCTGTTTATTATTTATTTAGCGTTGCTGTTTAGGGCAAAACGCTCCAACTGGAGAGTTGAATGAGTTGCGAAAGCAAGCTGAATTTTTAAGTCGTGCAGGATTAAGATTCGAAATGTGTTTTTGTTTCTTCTAGCAAGTCTTGTTAGTCATTAATAATCTTTTTTTTTTCTTTTGTGACTTCAGTCAGTTAAAATCATTTTCTCTGTCATAATGCTGCTGTTGTATTAACCGCAAATTCTTTCTTCTCCACTTAGTTCCCTGCTCCTACTTGTCACGTCTGCCAACTATCATTTCAATCTCGTTTCTTTTCTCTTCTCTCTGCCTTTATGTTTCTTCAGGGCGCCCTACCGTTTGATGATGACAACTTAAGGAATCTTTTGGAGAAGGTGAAGCTGGGTGTGTTTCACATGCCACACTTCATCCCTCCAGATTGTCAGAACCTTCTCCGCGGCATGATTGAAGTGGATGCCTCCAAAAGATTAACGGTCAGTTCAGTAAAGAGACTCAGTGTTAACTCAGAATTGTGTGTGTTTGTGCAGATCTTTTATGCACATAAAAGTACTCGGTACGCTTTGCAACCTTACCTCTTTATGCATAGGGAATAAAAGGGACATGAAATCTAATATGGTGCAGAGGTTTTAGAGGCATTTTAGAAGTTAAGATTGTTAGCATTGCAGCAAGCCCAGACATACAGACAGAATCATAAAGAGCAATCTTCAATAAGAAGAGGGACTTCTGCAACAGATAACATGGCCTTGCAGAGTCCTCAGCATCAACATAATGTCCTATTATCACGTCAACATCACCGAGTCTGCCAAGGACTACATTAAAAGACAGATGCAAATAAGACAGCATATTTCCACTGAACAGCTTTTGAAAGTTCTCCAAGATGGGTGCAATAACCTGCCTCACAAATGGAGTGAAGAAGGTTCTACTTTTATCTAGTTTATTTCAGTATTCGTATAGTACCTAGAACTTAAACAG